GTATTCCACAATTGTGACTTCTAGGACCGCTTCCAGGCGACGGGAGCCACGGGGAGCACAGCACGGTCCTGACAGCGACCATAAACCGTATGTAAGCCCTATAAATTCCGAGTTTCAAGCACTAGACGGCTATCCCTGAAACCTCCCTAAACCTTAAAAAGCCAAAACCTTAAAAACCCTTGAAGCTTAAAATCCCTAAACCTTAACAACCCTAAACCTTAAAACCTACTAATGGTTCAGGATAATAATGATAAAGATAGTAGTGAGTGATAATGATACGAATGATACAAAAACTAGTATGATATGAATGACAATGATGCTAATCATGATAATAGTGATAACAATGTTACCAGCGATAGTAATGATAATACTGAAAAATAATGATAATGATGATAATATTAGCAGTAATGATAATAAGTTATTACATGGAAGCTTCAGAGACAGAGCTTGGCACTGAATCGCAGGGCTCATGTTGCTCTTTGAGCTTTGTTTGTTTGACACCTCTTTTCCTCCTACATGGCCACGGGTTTGACTTTCCGGACTCAGCATCGAGTCTTGATCTTATCATCATAGGGACCCTTAGGGGGGGTAAGGGGGAGGGGGTAGGGGACTATACTTCCTCAAACAGGCCTTATTCGGTCCTTATTTTGGGCATTAAGGCCCCCTACTCCCCTTCCCCCCACCCCCTTAAGGGTCCCTATGATATCAGTAAGGTCTAGAATTTAGCATTCGGGCTTCAGGGCTGCAGGTTTACACAAGTTTTCAAAAGTTTCTGAGGATCAGGAAGAGGACCCAAGTCTGAGGGTCCTGGATACGCTACATATGTCGAGTTCAACAGTCCCCAAAAGGTTTAGGGTTTTAAGGTTTAGGATTAGGGTTTAGGGCCCTTTATCTCTAAACACGAAGGGAAATGCTTTAGAACATATCTCCCAAATCGATAGCTAGCATTGTTGTTGTAGCAGAACTCTCACGCAAAGCATACCAGGACAACGACAGCCAAAAGGCCAATAGGATGCTAGCTAAAGAATCGCCTGATCGCCGCGAGTTCTATGAGTTCCAGCAGATACCCTCAACCCAAATTACAGCCGGCAGCCTCTTTCCTTGTCTAACAAATTCTGCCTCCCTTGCCGCCAGGTCGAATGTCTGGGCTCCTAACCGCGAATCGATGCGGTCGCAGACACAAAAGGTCGCGGAAGGCGAGCGAAAGCACCGAAAGAATGGGCCGAGGAATAGTGGTCATGGTCAAGGGATCACGAGAGCAAGTGCATGGGGGTTAGGGCCGCCAGGGTTGAGGGTTTAGGGTTCAGGGGTGTTGTAGCGTTGCGGTGATGACACTACCCAGGTGTGGGGAATCCAGCTCCAAGCCAAACAAGATCACGCTTTCCGCTGACTGAAACACCTGGCCGGGTGTAACTATAACAGCGCCTAGCGCATGAAGCAGTAAACTTTAAGTCCCGATCTGTATCGCAACCAGAAGTCGCCTCCCCATTCCCCTAGTGCGCTTTCTCACTCCTGCCACGTCCAGCACCCAGACATTCCACGGACATCTCTCGAATCGGAAGTCTGTCTCACTGTGCAAAATGCTGCGGCCCAAGCAGGTGTGCAAATACATACATATATATATATATATATACACATACATACATAGATATAGATGTACATATACAGAAACATACACACATATAGAGATGCATACATATATCACCAATGAAATGATCAAGTTTGTAGCTGAAGACCAGGGCAGGCTGGAAGCTGCTTGAATATCCTTGCATGCATATATATATATATATATATATATACATACACACACATAATATGTGCCCACCTATATATATATATATATAGATACATTTACGTGTGTATATATATATATATATATGTATGTATATATATATATATATATATATATATATATATATATATATATATATATATATATATATATATATATATTTATTGAGATGTAGATATATGTAGATGCCGCACGAACCATCTACAATGCCTAAAATGTACCTAAGTTGTCCAGTTGAGGGCACGTCATTGAAGCCAACATGTCAAAACAAACGGTGTTGGCCACCGCGGCAGTGGCAGCTAAAGTGAAAGTTACTGAGTGAACATTGACACGCCATCAACTGAGAACAGCAACAACGACATCAACAGTACGAGCACCCACTCTGCAGGAATACATATTCTAGCGTAGGTGTATATATGTATATGCATATGCCGCACGAACCGTCTACCGAACTCTGAAAGCAAAACAATAAACCTTCCAGTTGCGGGCAAACCTCACTCTAGATGAAACACTGGTCAGTGAAGCCAAAACGTCGAAAAACGTTGTTGGCCACCACGGCACTGGCAGCTAATGTGAAAATGACAGTGCGAACCCTGACACACCACCACCTAAGAATAGTGACAACCACTTCAACAGTATGAACATCGGCTGGCTCTACTGATGAGAAAGCTATGGCTGAGAAAACGTCGTGATTTCAATCTCAGCCTTCTGTTAAGGCCGATACTACCCCACAAGGTTGAGGGATACGTACTCGACTACCTACCTGCCCGTCCCCATCCTGCAACAATCTGGAATGTCAGCCCCTTAGACTCAGACCCATGCAAAATATATTCTTCAGAAACAGTAGAACATGGGCAAGGCTTGAGATGCTTGCCAAGATTGGAGCATTCCGGTTCAGGTTCAAGGTTTAGGGCTTGGGCCCTTGGGGGTTTCCAGGGTTTCTAGGGATAGAGTTTAGTCTGCCTCTTGACCTTGGAGTACGAAACTGCAGGCCCAGGTGTACCAATCGAGGACACTGGCCAGAGCCACAGCACCAGGTCTTTTGCTCATCTTCGAAGACTAGATCTTTTGGGGATTAGGCTTTAGGAATTTGCGCGCCATGGTTTTTTAAGGTTTGCCGGGGGGCTGGGGATGATTTGCACACCATGGTCGAAAATTGTTGTGAAGAGATCACGGCAAAAGTGAAACTGAACTCGAGATCGAGCCTTTCGCTTTGACGGGATCAAGCGATGGCCGATTTCAAAGATTTCGAGCCAACACTTTGTTGACCTCAAGCGTGAAATCCTAGAGGGCGCTGCGCACATAGGAGCGGATGTGTCCAAGCCGTCTCTTGCTCTTGACAGCTCCTTAACCCGGAATAACCTGTCTTTTTAAGTGACTGACATAAGGAAACCATAATGAGGAGCCTTAAAGAGGTGGGTTATTCAGGGTTATGGGTAACCTCAAGCTGACTCGGCATCTCCTAAAGCTGAACTCCAAAGCCTCGTGAAACCTCAACTTCCTGATCCCTAATGACTGGACGCAAGAGTAACCTAAAAATGAAAAGGGTGCCCTTTTTGGTTTAAAGGGGCTTATAAGGGAACCTGAACCCTAAAAAAGGGAATAAGGGCCTACTCTAGGTCCTAGATGAGCATCGGGCTGGCAGACCTGACGCAGGTATGAAACTAGAGGCCGGAACTAGAGGCATCTTGTATACACCCAACACTCTTTTGCACGATGTGAGCGTGTCGTCAACTTCATTTCCAAGGCCACCGAAACACACATAAACACTAACCAAACTGACTGGTTGCCTGACTAACTGACTGAGTGACTGCCAGACCTATCTGCGACAAGTCTTGCCTGCACCTCAGTTGAATGTGCAGCCAAAGGTCATATTAGCCTAGGCCGTAAACCACCTGAAACGAAAGGTTTCTCGTGGGGATATTGCCTGGGAGTTTGTTCATTTGGCCATTCGGCACCCCTGCGGCTAAAGCCTAGTTAAACCCTAAACAGGAAGGGTTCTTGGACTTCATGGGGCTTGACATGGGTTGATGCAGCATAACGGCACAACACCGCTAATCCGTTGGCTTCAATGTTTGGACATGCTTTGTGGTTTACGTCTAAGGCCCCGAAATTAAGGCGAGGCCGTCAATCGCAGCTCAGATGTCGCAGGCAAAGTAAACAATCGAAAAAACTCACCCTCTAAGCAGCTCCCTGCAGCGACTTTGGGCAAGGCGGCGCGGGGCTTAGCATTTATGGCTTAAGGCCTTGGGGCGTCTAGTTTTTTGACCGGAAAGCAACCATGTCGAAACCGTTGTAGGGCAACCGTTGTAGGGCCTATGGGGGGGCAGGGATGCATTCTTCCAAACAAGAACGATATTCGTAGCGTAGCTAAGATCAAGAACCCTCCACCCATAACCATGTCGGGAACCAGCTGTCTTGACTACTTCGTCCTCTCACGATCCGGAGATCCACCGAAACAGAAACCGAACGCATCCTGAGATTTCTGCATATGCAAATGTGTTATACATCCGTACATCCATACATCTTCGCATCCATGCATACACAAGGCATGCATGCAGGCATGCATTCATGCATCCACCAGTGCATACATACATACTTGCATTGATGCATGCATGCGCAACTGCATTATAACATATCGTACCATGTCGTGTCATGTCACGTCACCTCGTTTCATAACGCATACATGCATATTGACAATAATAACAACCATGTTATATACATATATATATATATATATATAATTATAGATGTAAATAAGTATATTATACGTATATATGCACGCAGAGGGTGGCACAGAAGCGCAACGAGCCTACGTGAAGTCTCACTTGCAGTCTCCCTCTCTCTCTCTCTCTCTCTCACCCAAGCACATAAGCATGTATGGGTGCATCTATACATGTGTAATATGTACACAGATGTATGTTGCGTATGGTGCTTTCTTCATGTCCCCATCGGGCCTGCTGGCTTCTATTGTTTGCTCAATGTTGCACCGCTACATATGCAACACACACAGACGATACAAGTACATGCATGTGTTGTCCTGCCTACGTAGAGGATCCTGGTAAAATTGGGACGGTGCTGGGCTCCTTGAGGCTCTCGAGTAATACATGAAAAGTTTCCGTGTGCCCATGCGCTCCACTGCGCGGAGCTGCAAGACATGCTCAGAGGGGGTAGGTCATTAGAGGTCCTACCGGGTACCACGCTCGCCTCAGTGCGGCACGGACAGCGTCCCCGACTTGCAAAAGCCTGGCCGAGTGCGGTCTGCTGTGTAACTGATCTTGTTTCAACAATTTAGTCGATCTTGTTCAGTAGGACAGGACCAGGATTTCAGGTACTTCTGGCCCCATGCATAACATGAGCTGGTTGCTCGGTCCACCTAGTCTTTTCTGTGAAAATCGTAACTCTATTCCCTGTCATCAGTCCAGATGTCAACCAGTGCAATGCAATTGTACCCGCATCTGCCCTGCTGAAACGGAAACGGTTCCAATCAAAGTCCATGTGGTTTTGAGATTCAGGAGGTGGGGTTCGAAAAAACCAAGCACTCAAGTTGTCAGAGCCAATGAAGCTCTGAACCCTTCATGCCATGCAACTTATCACCTTATCAGTCCTGAAAACCGCGAGAACCCTACAAGGTACCAGGGGTCGTCTAAACTGCCCCGCCCTCCACCGTAATGAGACTCCCTCAACCTTAAACCCTAAGCCCTAAGCCCGAAAACGCTAAGCCCCCATAGCCCCTAGGGTAAAAGCCAGAAAGTTGGAATATCATTATCGTAACCCCTTTACGGTAAATTATAGGGGATCCTACCATGAAACCATATTCCAACTTTCTGGAGTTCCCTTTAGCCCCTAAGCCCGTAAACCCCGAAGCCGCCCAAGCCTTCTAGACCCGAATCCCGGAAACCCCAAGTGGGTGGTTGTCAAAAAAAGTCCCTTTTTGGGGTACCCAGTAACCTAAGAATAAAAAAGCCTCTCTTTTTGGTATTGGGTAACTTTATAAGGAACCTAGGACTACAAAAAGGGAATAAGGGTACTACTGGGCATCCTAGTCCCTTTTTGGGTACCCTAATTATTACGTGCCGTACTATATTGGGGATCCAAAAAGGGACCATAATTTTGACAACCACCTAGCCCTGCAACCCTAAAACCCCAAATGGCCTTGAACCCAAAGCCCTTAGAACAAAACGAACCCTACCTCCTAAGCCCCTACAACCCTGAACCCAACCCTGGCCTGAAAAACCTATAAATCCTACAGCCTAAGCCCGTGAAACCCAAAACCCAAAACCCTTAAGCCCTTAAAACCCTATAACCCCTAAACCCTTAAAACCTTAAACTCCTAAACCTCAAACCTTTACATCTCTAACCCCTAAACCTCTAGCCCTTAAAACTTAAAACCCTAAACTCCTAAACCCTAAAGCCTACCCTAAACCCCCAAACCCCAAAACCCTAAACTCCTGAACCTCAAAGCCTCAAGCGGACCCCCAAAGGGTCCTGTGTACTAAACCCTAAACCCTATAAGGTACATATATACTGGAAAAGGGGACCCTAACATAGTACCCTAAATGCTAGGATCCTTATTATTCGGACCCTGAAATAAGCTACATAGGACCCTTTGGGACCCAAAGCGTCCTGATGGCCCTTAAAAACCTAAACTCCTAAACTTCAAAGCCTACCCTAACCCTAGACCCCAAAACACTAAACCCTAAATCCCTAAACCCTAAATCCCTAAATCCCAAAACCCCAAAACCCTAAACCTCAAAGCCGTAAGCAGTCCCAAAGCGTCCTGATGGGCCGAAGCTCCCTTAAAGGAACCCTAAACCCTAAACCCTTTAAGGAGCCCTTAAAGGAACCCTAAACCCAAAGCCCTTAAAGGAGCCCTTAAGGGAACCCTAAACCCTAAGCGCTTTAAGGTACATAGGACCCCTTTGGGACCCAAAGCGTCCTGATGGCCCGAAGCTCGAGGCGATGCAGCTGCGGATGTCCAGGCCGCTAAAGGTCATCACCTGCTTGGAGGATCAGGGGACTTAGTAAGGCTTCTTAAAGGGCTCCTTAAAGGGATCTATATGGCTATTATTATAAGGGTTTAGGGTTTAGGGTCTACTACTTAAAAAGGATCAGGGGACTTAGTCAGTAAGGTTATAAGTCCCCTAATTAAGGTTATCAGTACTTATAAGTATAGTTACCTTGTTTATAACCCCAAGCACTAAGTCCCATGGTCTACTGTTTTGGGGGGGCTTTGAAAGGCTTTTGGTTTGGGTTTAGGGTTCAGGGTTTGGGGTTTAGGGTTTAGGGTAGAGGGTTTAGGGGCTTTGGAGGGCTTTTGGTTTAGGGTTTAAGGGTTTTGGACGCTTTTGGTTTTGGGTTTAGGATTCCGGATTTAGGGTTGAGGGTTTAGGGGCTTTGGAGGCTTCTGGTTTAGAGTTGAAGGGTTTTGGAGGCTTTTAGTTTAGAACAGAGTTTAAGGTTTTGGGAGCTTTCAGTTTAGGGTTTAGGGATTAGGATATTTAGGCTTTTGGTTTAGGGTTGAGAGTCTGGCGTAGGAGGGTTGTAGAGGTTGGGGCAGCTTCAATGAGTTTGAGGGGGTTTCTCAGCCTTTGAGAGCATCGACGTCCTAAACAAACACGCACCTCGAGGGAGTTGCGGGTGGGCTTAAAACTGAGGTTGCCTCTGAAGCACCGACCCCAAACCCTAAACCCTAAACTCGCCAAGCCCTCCCTCCAAAACTCAAGTCCCCGGCAGAGCTTGGATGGACCGTTCCGACGATTCGATTCGGCACCTCAGTGAGAGCCGGATGACAGCATGGAGCCGGGGGGGGTTCGGAAAATGGGTTCACCAGCGAATTCTACTAAACCCTAAACCCAGGGTGTAATGTTCGAGGCTGAGGGTTGTTTGGGTTCAGGCGTCAGCACTCGAACACTGAATTATTGGCTCTTTGATGTTCCTTGGAAGGCACGGAAAATCGATTTGACGCTCTTCTCCTCGCAGTTTGCGGGCAAGTGGCCGCTGATAAGTGGCATTATGGTGAATAGACTATATGGCCTTCATAATTAGAATGGGGTTTGGGGGGGTGGGCTTGGGGGGACCATGTCTCTACACAAGCAACGGAATGATGAGGGCAGCATAATACAGATGATCTAAGCTTCCAAAAGGGACCCTGGCCGACAGGAACTTTCTGGTCATCATCGACACCCGCACCCGAAGATGCGGATCAGGGTTTAGGGTTTAGCGTTTGGGGTTTATGGGTTCAAGGGTTTGGTTTAAGGTTTAAGGTTCAGGGTCTATAGGGCCCAGGGTTTAGGGTTTAGGGATGTTTAGGGTCTAGGGCCCAGCGTTTCGGGTTTAGGGGTTCAAGGGCTTAGTTTAAGGTTTAGGGTTTAGGGACGACCGGAAGCTGTATTCTCAGGAGCCCAACACGCAGACATGAGGATGTTCTTTGGAACCACCCCCCACGGCCACCTTCGTAGCCCATTGAAAGCAGCCTCGCGCGTGTATGCACCTTCGAGCACGTGCAACCGAAATCCTCATCCCTGGGTTTAGCGTTTAGGGTCCCTGGCCCATCCCTGGCCCACCCCAAGCCCTGAGCCCAAACCGCTAGTTCGATGCCACACGACAGCTGAATTCGTAGCGAAGTCTCGCAACTGAGGGCTTGAAAGTCCCTAAACCCTAAACCCTAAACCCTCAAACCCTGAGCCCGGCAACCCTAAACCCGGAGAGCTGAAACCCACCGCTGACGACTGCCGGGGGCCAATGCATCGCTCATTGCGAAAGCATTGGCGGGGGAGACACACCTTGGTTGCCAGATTGAGCTTCTAGGGTCTAGGGTTTAGGAGTTTAGGGTTGAGGGATCCAGGGCTTGCTGGTTGGGGTTTAGCTTAGAGCCCAGGAGGGTCACAGTACTGGCTTCAAGCTTTGCGCTAGTTGCCGCGGTGCGTGGTCGCGGTATGCAGTCAAGATGAATCCCGAACTCTCAGAACCTAAAGACCCGAAACCCTAAGCCCCCAAAACCAAGCTCCCATCTGATGTTGTAGTAGACCTGCAGTTCAAGATGCTACGGGAAGTCTATCCGCATAACGTTGTGCTTTCGGCTGCCTTCACGGATCGAATCCTGTTTCAGGGTCGTCGATGCGGGATGCCCTTTCCATATTGGATCGATCACCTTACCAGAACACATGTCCCTGGTCTTCACCACACCGCCCCAAATTTCCTCATTGGAGGTACATTTTGGTGAAGCGGGCATTGCAGAAGCCTTCTGAGTTGGAGCCAAAGCGCGCGCAGACTAAGCTGCAGCGCGAAAGGCCTAAAAAAAAACAAATCCCGCAGTCTTGTGGCAGGTTTTGAACCATGTGCCCAAGACGGAGAGCATCCCAAATCCAAAGTATAAGTGCGCAGCTAGACCCCGAGCATGAAACCCGTCAACACCCACATCACAGATCAAATTCGGGTTTAGGGTTTAGGGTTTGGTACCAATACTCAAGTTAAATCCTGCACCATCCGCCCCTCAACCGAAAGCTGAGCTTTTCGGTTACGATGGCAATCGCGAAGGATGCTTCCACCATAACCATTTTCGGCTGCGATAACGACGACTCGATCGCTCAGCTTCTGGGGGGCGACTGATGCGATGATATTCTAATGTAGAATGCACAGCTAGGATTTGCCGCTCCTGATGCGTCTGTCGTTTCTGGTGCTTCTGCCCCCTGCCATTATCGTGGCCGCGGTTATGCATTGGCTTGTGTTCGTGGTTGCTGTCGCTGGTGCTGGTGGTTGCACGAGTGTTCTGGGGCACGCACGACAGCATGATATCATGTCTACCCTAAACCCTAAACCCTAAACCCTGTCTACCCCCCCCCCCCCCGCCCCCTGCGCTCGGGCCCGTACTCAATGCACATGGTGTCGTCCTGGGCCGGGCCGGACCCTTAACATACCCAGGGCCGGAGTTCTCCTAGCCTGGCACTCCAGGTTTAGGGGTTTAGGGATTTAGGGGTTTAGGGTTTAGGGTTTAGGGATGGATTACAATCGGATTTTAGGCTGAGGGTTTAGGTTGAAGGGCCTTTTCCGATCTGTCGGCAAGAGCTTCTATCAAAACAACCTGCTTGCCTCTGGGAACTGCATTTTTTCAGGAGAGTCCGGGTAATGCTGACTGAATGATGGGGACCGTCAAACTAAAACGCCCGCCATCAGAATCGTCCTGCATCCATGATGTTCCTGGGGTTTGGGGGCTCGGATTTGTGCAGTTTCGGGCTCAAGTCTTGACATTCGCGCTCGAAGCAAATCAAGTCACAACCACAACCACCGGACTCTATGGACTACTAACCCATGGATGCTCATGGGTACTTGAACTCGGCCGCAGAAGGTTGTGCATGCGCTGCACTTACATCGGCAGCCATCAACAGTTGACTCGAAGAGGCACCGCTCCGAAAGTTGTTCTTCCCAGACCTTCCAAAATCCCATAATTAAGGAACATACCTTAAATGATATTAGGGATCCTACTATAATTTACAGTATATTCCTTAATTAAGGGGTTTTGGAAGGTCTGGGTTGATCTGATCCTCCAGGCGCCGAAGCTCCTGGACAACCCTGAACCCTAAACCCTCATGCACAAGCCTAAACCCAAAACCTTCATGCTAAACCTCAAACCCTATACCCTAAACCCTAAGGAGTGAACCCGACCGTCATTGCGATGACTAGTCAGGGCTGAAAACTCAGAGCTCGCATTATACCCGAAATCATGCAACATCCAAAGCTCTCATAGAGCTCTTCTAGTCTTTTGTCAATTTATAATTAGAACAACACGTTTAAGCTCTCCTATAAAGTCCATATCAACGGCAACGCCTCTAATTCCGTGTAGAGCCAACACGAATAAACCCTGATTCAAGCCTGATTAGCAAAGAGCCCTAACGAGCCCTTTCTCAGCTCGCTGCAACAGATTTAGAAGCCGTCTCGACGCACTGTAGGCTGGCGGTGTTGGCCTTGTGTTTACGCGATTGGGGTTCCGTGAGCGCTCTGTTATTAGTGCGGGGGTCCGATGAGAAACTTAAACCCTGAACCCTACACACTAATGAACCCTAAACCCCTAGACCCTAAAACCTAATCCCAAAACTAAAACACTTTGGGGCTCCACGGCTACTGTAGAACTTGGAATCACAAGGCCACGCCTAGCTGTAGGCTCAATATACTCCTAAAAGGTTGATATATCTAACAGATATTATAAAATGTACTACAACTACGTGATAACATGCTAACAAGCTCTACTACTAGAGGACGTAGCCTTGTTTTATAGGTGCAAGTTAGGTTTGCAAATGCTACCCCTAAACCCTAAACCCAAAGGCCTCAACCCTCCCTCCACCCCTGGGTTTCCCACGGTCCGGTTAATAGCAACGGTAGCCTTTATCCTGGTATCCAGTTTTAAGCGCGGAACATGGGTTTTGATTTCAAGAGTCCCCATAGTCAAGACAAAACCTTCTGAAAACTCCTGTACTCAGGCCCTGTATGCACTCAGAAATTCACGAATACTAACCCTACTTCATATGGAAGCTTCAGAACAGAGGGAGCAGAATGTAGAATCCGAAGTGGTAGGACCCTGTTCTATCAAGACACCTGAATAAGGTCCCCATCTTTTGACAATCCTGTATCTAGAACGAGTTTGGTGAAGATAGGTTTGACTGTTCCCAGCACTTTGAAAAGTGATGGTAGTGCTGACATTGGGTTTAGCCTCGAGGGTAAAAGGTTTTAGGATGGTTTAGAGCTTTAGAAAGTAGGGTTTTGTGCTTTAGGGTATAGAGCTCCCGAGACAACGGGACGCCGGCCATTGTCTGTCGCCATGAGGTGAAACTGCTCACCTCGGCATTGTACGCAAGCCAAACAGGAGAACAGTCTCTTGGAGCTATGACTGCTTTACAGCTCGGGGCTGTGGGCATGCGAGCGGATCTCCTACTTGTCGAGTATCATGGGGAACTAAAGGTTAACCTGTTTTAGTTATATAGGTATAATATATAGGCTATACTACCCACAAAAAGGTTAAAGGTTACCCGGTTACCTACTCTAGTACTAGGCTCTTTCGTAGCAGCAGACAACTCAAAGAGCGAAGTCCTGAGCCTGTACAATCTGATCCCAACGTCCAGTTTGTCGCCCATGGTCCTTCTACAACTATGTCCCACCGAACACGGCTTAAGGGGGTGTCTTACAATGGCAGGGTTTCAAGCTTGCAGAATGGTTCAGGTTTAGAAATTTACGATTTCGTGTAAAGGGGTTCTTTGACCGCTGGGGATGTATGGTTCCGGATCGATGGCTTCTGGGTTGATAGAAACCTCATGAGGCTGTGGTTAAAGCACACAGCGTCAGTGGCCTGGGTTGATGGTTTAAACGTTCATGTTCAGGGATTGAGCGCCCTCAGCCCTAAGCCCTAATCCCGCAAACACCCTCATAAACCCTAACTAAAATCCCTAGCCCTAAGCCCTAAACCCCAATAAACCCTGAACCCTAAACCCTAATCCCTAAATAAACCCGAAACCCTATAAGCCCTAAACCATGCCTCTTAAAGGCCTGGAGGCTCGTGGCTCGGGGTTGGGACTTGCTGGCTCGGCAATCACTCACAGAATTATCTATAAAAGATCATGGAGAACGACGAGCCCCGACACCACCCGGAAAAGAGCTCGTGCAGCTGTAGTGAAGGCGATGCAGTCTTTGTTGAAGTTTCTAGGAAACGCAAACCATGCAGTCAGGCCAAGGGGATTTGGGCTGAAAACTGTGGCATGCTAAGTCTTCCGGCGGTCTGGTCGTCACCGCGCATGACCTGTGCTTAGCCAGGTGGAATGTAGGAACCTGACTAAGAAACCTTGGGCCTTCATTAGGGATCCTGATATGAATGCTACTATTCTGGGGTTTTAGGCACAATGGTCCTTAGTAGGTTGGTTATGAAACAGACTCACACATGGGTGGTTGTCAATATTAGGGTGCCTTTTTGGGTCCTTCTTATATTTATTATAATATGGCACCTAATATTTAGGGTACCCAAAAAGGAACCCTAATTTTGACAACCACCCATACAGCTACATGACTTAAGTCATGTTGCCCGAACTCTGTCCCTACTTATGACCGACTGAAATACGATGAGGACGCGAGTTTGCTTGCCAGGAAAGGACTAACGGAAACAAACGTATGTTCGTAATTGTCCTATCGTATTCCTTGACCCTCCACTTAGAGCCTGAATGCCTAATACTATGGGGCTATATACCCCTATTTGAGGGTACAAAAAGGGGGGCGGTCCTGGTTCTTGGGGGACCTGGTCACTTGGGATTAAAGAAAGCTCCACTGTGGCGGCTCTCACGTGCATGCTGAGTGAGCCGTTTCACGCTAAAGCGCGATTTTGCAGCACGTTTGAGCCACGACACCCAGAATGGTTGCATAGTGAGTGTTCTCTCGGGCGTCGGGGCCTGATACGGCCGGGCGGGTTTTGAGCGATTTGCAGTTAAAAGCTCTTCTTTGACACGTTGTTTGAACTTGTTAAACTGCGCCCGTGTGACCCAGCCCTTCCCAACAAATTCCAAGGCAGTCATCATTGCGGCACGTGCAGTGGGCGGCGCATGGGCCAGTACGTCCTCAAGCGACATTGGCCTGACGAGCTCGTTGGTTGTCTCTGACCCGATTTCCCAATCTGGTGTGCGAAAGGCAGCGGCGGCCTGCTCTAGATGGGACTCCATCGCGGCCAGGAAGCTTCGGTACTGGCCGGAAGCTTGTTGCTTCCTGCTGCTGCTCAGCAATGGCGGATTTGGCCTCACCATTCTGCACACAGTCACCATGAGTTCATCATGGGGTCCTGCGGTGGGGACGATGCTTAGCTCGCTATCTCGGAGGTTTGATATGAAGGTTGCCATTTTAGGCTTGCGCAGGTTCAGGAATTTAGGGTTTCGGGAAAGCCAATTGATTGCAGGTCCTTGCTCCCTCAACGACTTTCAATGAAGCCGCGGGCTCATCCGAACCCAATCCTTCAAACCTCCCAATACCTGGAACTGGGCTTGCAGAGGCTTGTCTACGTATGGGACGTCTTCATGAGAATTTAAGGGCTAAGCCCTTCCTCGCGTAATTCAAGCCTGTCCCTGATCCCCAAACTCCTAAGGTCTTACGTATTCAGACCTCCGTAAAACCCTAAAGGAGCCCTTAACCTGCAAGTCTTAAAAAGGACCTTCAAGAACCCTTAAAGGAACCCAAAACCTTAAAGTCTTAAAGGACCTTTAAGAAACCTTAAAGGAACTTAAACCTCAAAGGACCTCTAAGAGCCCTTAACGGCACCCTAAGAATCCTTAAACGAACCCTTTCAGGAACCCCCCAAATCCCCTTTAAAGGTACCTTAAAGGATCCCCTACGGGCAAGGACCCTGAATACTTAACGGAACCCTACAGACTAAAGGGTCCAGGTACCTAATAATCATCAATCCACTATCCGTAATCCAAGTACCCAACTAAAACGCCCTTTGGACTCTTGGGATCTACAAGTTGCTCAAATTCCATCAAAGCCTAAAACATAAACCAGAAAACGCCGAAAGCCCTAAAACCCTAAACCCTAAACCCTATATTTAATAGACTCTGAACCCTAACCCCTAATAGGCCCTGGGATCCCTTGGAGTTAATGGGAGCTTCCGAAAATAGGGGACCCTAATATAATACCCTGAATAGTAGGATCCCTATTGTAAGGACCCCCAGATAAGGTACCCCTAATTTTCGGAAACTCCCAAATGGGACCCAACAGTCTCCTCCCAGACCCCCTGCTGCGAGCCAGGCCCATTCTTCCAGCACATCCTTCGCCTGGCTTACTTGGAGGGTCGGGGGACTTAGAAAGTAGGTAGTAAGTTGACTTATAAGTACCCTAAAAGGAACCCTAATTGGGGTTACGGTACTTATAAGTCCCTAGAATAACCAGTTACTAAGTCCCCCGACCCTGCAAGTAGGGATCTTGGGGTCGAAAAAGGTTTACTTGAAGGATCATGGGACTTAGTAACTGGGGTTATAAACAAGGTAACTATAGTGATAATTACTTATAACCCCAATTAGGGGTTGAAAAGGGTTTAGGGTCTCAGGGATAAGGGTCCGTTTGAGGGATCTAGAAGGATACGATACGGGCTTATAACAAGGTCTTAGGGCCTTAGGGTTTAGAGCTTAGGCGGTTTAGGGCTTAGATTTTAAGGTTTAGGGTCTTAGGGATTTAGGGGTGAGGGTTCATGGCTTAGGGTTAAGGGTTTAGGGTTGACGGGTTAGGCTGCGTCTTTTGGTATCTAGGCCTTCAGGTTGACAAGTCTTTTATGGGATGGTTTCGGACGTAGGGCTTTACGTCTAGAGTTCAGAATTCAGTAGGGCTTACAGTCTACAGTCTAGGGTTTACCGTCTAAGGTTTAGAGATTGGATTTACTCTCCCCAACAACCGGGCCACAAAAAGTTCCAACTTTCTAAGATAGAGCCCATATATATATATATATATATATATATATGGCCATAAAGTTTGAAGTTCCCCCGTTCACTATCTACGTTTAGGGTTCAGAACCGAGGCTGCAGGTTCATAGTGTCGATGCCCTGAATGCACTTCGTTTGCTCGGAAATCGTATTCCAAGAATCCACAGCTGCACGTGCACTCGATGCAAAAGGTGATGGCGCTGCGAGAGTACAAAGTATGCCAGAATGAGGTGGGCAGACCCGAAACTCAGCTTGTCCGCTCAAGGGAGTTGGAGGCGGACCAGTAGCCTTCTTCTGACAGCAACTATCTTCCATTCGCTGTTGCCATGAAGCTATTGAAGTTATGGTTTGAAGGCTTCAGGGATTGTGTGGGCTATTAGGTGTGGAGGGCTTAGAGAAGGCATCCTTGAACCCGAAAGCCGAGACCCCAACTCAACACTGTCGGGATCACAGAATATAGGGGCCTTAGGAATTAGAATAGGGTTTTGGGGCCCATCATACTATATACCTATAATAATGAACCCCCGAAATAGTATAGGTAAGTCTTTAGGCTCCTATATTAGCTCCCAGGTCCCTTCTCTTGCAAACTGACACAGCAGCGATGGAGACGATAAACACAGACAGCGGTACAGATAGTAACCTATACATAGCACTTACTCTGGGATATTTGGAGTCTTATGGAATCCCGACACCCCAAGATCGATAAACCCCGAACCCTGTAATTAATCCTCAAACCCTGCTATAAACCATAAACCCTATAAACACTAAACCCGGAAGAACCCTAAACCTATATAAACCCTACGTATGAGCCCTAAACGCTAAACTTCTATAAACGCTAAACCTCTATAAACCCTAAACCTCTATAAACCCTGAAGGTTTATAAACCCTAAACCCTAAGCCCTTCTAAATTCTAAACCCAACCTTCGGGAGGCCCCGGTCTGACGAGATCGGAGATTCTAGACCATACCAGGACCCTCCTTGTACCCTCAAAGAGGGGTGTATGTATATATATATATATGTATATATATATATATATGTATATATATACATATATATATATATATATATATATATGTATATATATATATATGTATATATACATATATATATGGTCCCAAATATAGGGGCGTTTAGGGCCCAAGAGGGGGTAGATGCATGCAAGGTCTAGGCAAGCCCAGGGAGTTGAGGACGAAAGGGGGCAGGCTGCTGAGGGTTTTTTGGTTTAGGGGTTGGGGGTGTAGGGTCTAGGCTTCAGGGGTTTAAGGGTCCTAAGGCCGTAAACCCCAAACCCTCAAACCCCAAAGCGCCTGCACCGATCCGTATTCATCGCGCTGGCTCCGATCCTGATACTCCACCTGAGTCGGCTTCTGGATTAGTGCGGGTTACCAAACTATATACGATAAATCTAGAGAGGAATCCTCAGGAATAATAGTGGTAATTGCTCAGGCTGCTATATTAATTAGTGCCGGCACCAGTAGCTTTCCGATGCTGAGCTTACACCGAAGATAGGTTGAAGGAATGTGTTGCCCACTTGCTAAAGCCTCACGGATCTCGAACCGGCACAATGGCAGAAATGCAACACCTGAAGGCTCAAGAGCAAGCTCTCGGCCTTTAACCACAAGCCCTAAACGAACAAGCCTTCAACCCAAATCCTAGGGCATGAGAACTACTTTAAAGCCGTGAGCAAGCGAAGAAGGTCAAATGGCTGGCAGTGCTTGCACTATGCAATCTCGTGCTTGAATGTAACTACAACGTTAAACAAATAAAAACGAGAGCAACCTAAGGACCGGCGGTTGAAGATGTTTGAGAGACGGCTGACCGCAGCGTACAGCACTTCAACGCGTCCAGGGTTTGGGGCTCTTGGGTGGCATCGGGTTTAGAAACTAAAGGGGTTTGGGTTGGGGCTTGGTATTCAGGGATGACTTTCGTCCGCTTTCCGTGCCCGGCGATGATTCTGGTGTAAACCCTTGACCCTAATTACACCCTAAACATCTAAACCTAGCTTAAGCCCCTACACCACCAGCATAAAAGTTTCGCAGAACTTGCCTACACCATCGTGCGGAGTACGGACAAGTGCATTAATCACCGGGGGCCTTGCGCAGTGTTCAAGAGAGACACGCGCGAGTGAGACGAGCACTCGTGCTACCGCAGTAAGCCCTAAGACCTGAAGGCCCTAAACCCTAAACTCCTAAATTATGTTATAAACCCAACACCCTAAGCCCTAAACTCTATTTATAAACCCTATACCCCTGAAACCCTAAACCCAAAACCCCTAAACCCCTAAAGCCCAAACCCTAAACCCCTGCTGGGTGCAGCCCGACGACAAAGCATGTCACGTAGGGCAAGCCATGCGTGGTGCCCGGGATGATATCATCTGGCCTCAAGGTCTCCCCGAAGCCTGAAAAAACCAACCTTTCTGTAGTTCTTTACGGTTCCTTAGTATGATTTCCCGTTGACTAGCCTCTGGAAGAAGCCCAACCGTAAATAGCCGACCATTTACATGTTAAGGGCCCTTGTTAGTTCTGATCTGTTTATATGACCTCTGGTCAAAAAGCACTGAAACCTGAATAATCTACATGCCTGTGTAGGGCTCCGTATCGAATTCAATTCCTTCTACAAGCACTTACAGAGGGAAGCTTTTGCGGTCCAGGTCAGGGGCCAACTTGGGGGATCAGGGCGCTTGGTACGTAGGGATCCGTCACGCCGTCATTCAGCATCAGGAACCGTATCGTCACTGTCATCGCTCGGGTCACCGCCACGAAACTTCATGCTGTGCACAACTGTCACTATCAACCTTGGTGCTTTTGACATTTAGGCTTTGGGACATGGGGGGATTCTCAAGCATGCCTGCAGCGACCGTACGGACGAATGACTGAGGCTTCGGGGTTGAGAGTTGAGGGCTGTTGGCGGTTTAGGGTTTAGGGTTTAGGGTTTATAGGGTTTAGGGTTTAGGGTTTAGGGTTTAGGGTTTAGGGTTTAGGGTTTAGGGTTTAGGGTTTAGGGTTTAGGGTCCAGAAACCCTAAACCCTACAAGGTTGGCTCCAGGGCAGTCATGGGCTTAAGGTCGGTTCATGCAGGGCTGGGTTCAATCAGCGAGAAACAAACAGAACACCTGGTCAGCCGCAGTGATCTCATTATTGTGATTTTGTTAATGAAGCTACAATATTCTATTGCTGCTACTGCTTATACTGCTATTTGTAATGTTGCTTCTATTGTCTGTTTGTTGGATGATTAATCTCCGCGACCCCTAAACCCCAAGCCATTTTGACATCGGCTTGCATCAGCGTGGCTTCTTCGGGTTGCCATCAGAGAAGGAGTGACGCCGCTTGTTCGTCCTCCACGTGTCAGCTTCAGCCGCCGTCAGAAAAGACACGACTTCTGCATGGCCGTTTTGAGAAGCTAACACAAGGGCAGTGGCACCATCACGGTTAGTTAAGTTGTCGGCACCCGCCGCCACCAGCAAGCGCACGACTTCCACGTGGCCTTGTTGCGAGGCTAGCATCAAAGCAGAGACACCGTCATTATCGGCCAAGTTCTTGTCGGCACCGGCCTCCAGCAGCAAGCGCACGACTTCCACGTGGCCGCGACGAGAAGCTAGCATCAAACCAGTGAAACCGTCATTATTGGCTAGGTTCGTGTCGGCACCGGCCTTTATCAGCAAGCGCACGACTTCCACGTGGCCTTCTTGAGAAGCTGGCATCAAAGCAGAGACACCGTCATTATCTGCCAAGTTCTTGACAGCACCGGCCTCCACCAGCAAGCGCACGACTTCCACGTGGCCGCGAAGAGAAGCTAGCATCAAAGCAGAGACACCGTCATTTTTGCCCAAGTTCGTGTCGGCACCGGCCTTTATCAGCAAGCGCACGACTTCCACGTGGCCTTCTTGAGAAGCTAGCATCAAAGCAGAGACACCCTCATTGTTGGCTAAGTTCGTGTCTGCACCAGCCGCCACCAGCAAGCGCACGACTTCCATGTGGCCGCGAAGAGAAGCATACATCAAAGCAGAGGCACCCTCATTGTTGGCGAAGTTCTTGTCGGCACCGGCCGCCGCTAGCAAGCGCACGACTTCCACGTGGCCTTCTTGAGAAGCTAGCACCAAAGCAGAGACACCCGCATTGTTGGCTAAATTCGTGTCTGCACCAGCCGCCACCAGCAAGCGCACGACTTCCATGTGGCCGCGACGAGAAGCAGACATCAAAGCAGAGACACCGTCATTATCGGCCAAGCTCTTGTCGGCACCGGCCTCCATCAGCAAGCGCACGACTTCCACGTCGCCGCGACGAGAAGCTAGCATCAAACCAGTCAAACCGTGATTGCTGCCCAAGTTCGTGTCGGCACCGGCCTCCACCAGCAAGCGTGCGACGTCTACATGGCCGAATCGAGAAGCTAGCATCAAAGCAGAGACACAGTCATTATCGGCCAAGTTCGTGTCGGCACCGGCCGCCGCTAGCAAGCGCACGACTTCCACGTGGCCTTCTTGAGAAGCTAGCATCAAAGCAGAGACACCCTGATTGTTGGCTAAGTTCGTGTCTGCAGCACCGGCCGCCACCAGCAAGCTCACGACTTCCACGTGGCCGTGACGAGAAGCTAGCATCAAACCAGTGAAACCGCGATTGCTGCCCAAGTTCGTGTCGGCACCGGCCTCCACCAGCAAGCGTGCGACGTCTACATGGCCGAATCGAGAAGCTAGCATCAAAGCAGAGACACAGTCATTATCGGCCAAGTTCGTGTCGGCACCGGCCGCCGCTAGCAAGCGCACGACTTCCACGTGGCCTTCTTGAGAAGCCAGCATCAAAGCAGAGGCACCGTCATTGTTGGCTAAGTTCTTTTCGGCACCAGCCGCCACCAGCAAGCGCACGATTTCCACGTGGCCTTGGTGAGAGGCTGCCATCAAAGCAGAGGCACCCTCATTGTTGGCGAAGTTCTTGTCAGCACCGGCCTCCACCAGCAAGCGCACGACTTCCAAGTGGCCTTGTTGAGAGGCTAGCACCAAAGCAGAGACACCCTCATTGTTGGCTAAGTTCGTGTCTGCACCGGCCGCCACCAGCAAGCTCACGACTTCCACGTGGCCGTGACGAGAAGCTAGCATCAAACCAGTGAAACCGCGATTGCTACCCAAGTTCGTGTCGGCACCGGCCTTTATCAGCAAGCGCACGACTTCCACGTGGCCTTCTTGAGAAGCTGGCATCAAAGCAGAGACGCCGTCATTATCTGCCAAGTTCTTGACAGCACCGGCCTCCACCAGCAAGCGCACGACTTCCACGTGGCCGTGACGAGAAGCTAGCATCAAAGCAGAGACACCGTCATTATCGGCCAAGTTCGTGTCGGCACCGGCCGCCGCTAGCAAGCGCACGACTTCCACGTGGCCTTCTTGAGAAGCAAGCATCAAAGCAGAGACACCCTCATTGTTGGCTAAGTTCGTGTCTGCACCAGCCGCCACCAGCAAGCGCACGACTTCCATGTGGCCGCGAAGAGAAGCAAACATCAAAGCAGAGGCACCCTCATTGTTGGCGAAGTTCTTGTCGGCACCGGCCTCCATCAGCAAGCGCACGACTTCCATGTGGCCTTCTGCAGATGCCACCAGCACTGGAGTTTGACCGTGCATATTGACCACGTCTGGGTGCCGGGGCTGGTGCAAAATGGCCTCAACCTGCTTGCTGGTTCTGATCTGTGTTGTTGAGGGCAGTTTAGGGTTTAGGTGGTTGGAGTTAAGGGTTTCGAATTTGGGCCCAGTTGTCACAATAGTCGGAGTTTTCAGAGTGTTGGTGTTATATAGTTCGGGATATGTATGTGTGTGTATATTATATATATATATATATAGATATATAGTTACTTATTTATCTTTTTGCATATTTATATCTACTAGACCAGATAGATGGAGAGATAGACAGGCAGACAAATAGACAGATAGGCCGTTGGGGCTCAACATAAGGGTTCGGGGCTCCGGAGTGATTTTCTGCACAAACGAACCTTGGACGTGGAACCGTTGGCAGCTGCAGCCACCAGCTCTTCAGCTTCTTCCTCTGAAGTCTCAGAATATGCAAGCACGACCAGCTCCAGTTCCATGGATGAGTCTAGCTGGACGGAGTCATCTAACGAGCTGCCGCCGAGCAAGAGTCTTTGCCTGAATCGCACAGGCAAGCCGTGCAAGCGATTCAGTTGTTGCTTTAGTGCCCTCGCGTCGCTCAACTCCTCCACAGGAATTCGTGCCACCTCTTCGCCTGATAGCATCCTCACGCGCACCATTGCTTGAACACCGATTCTCAAAACGTGCTGACGTTGTGAAGACGGCTGATACAGGTTTCTTGCCAGGGAACTGTGAAAAACCGTGCCGCTGGGCACTATGCCCTTTGCAAACACAAAACACGTTTCGGCCGTACTAGTACCAAGTTACACTGAAAGATTGCATGCTGTGTTGCACATAATGAAGACGATGCCTACACAGCAGCCCAGAGAGCTCGAACTTGACGGCTATCGTTTAGCAGCAAGCTCATCTGGTGGAAGGCTTGACAGGAGGATGTGCTGGCGACAAGTTCCCCCCCATGATCCAACTAGCAGTGAAGGTAGTGGTAAGGCAGAAGCAGTAATAGTAGTAGTAGTAGTAGTAGTAGTAGTAGTAGTAGTAGTAGTAGAAGTAGTAGTAGTAGTAGTAGTAGTAGTAGTAGTAGTAGTAGTAGTAGTAGTAGTAGTAGTAGTAGTAGTAGAGGAGGAGAACTAGCACGAAGTACCAGTGCTGAATTGTACTGGCACTAGTACCGGTGTTGGTGCATTTGTACTAGTAGTAGTACGCGTATTGGCACTAGTAGTAGTGGCAGTAGTAGCGGCAGTAGCAGCAGTAGCATTAGCAGCAGCCGTAGAATCGTAGAAGTAGCAGCAGTGGGATGGTAGAGATGGTAGTGGTGGTACTAGTTGGTGGTAGTAGTAGCGAGGCAGCAGTAGTAGCCCTGGCAGTGGCAGTGGTTGTGGCAATACGAGTAGTCGTCGTCGCAATGCTGACGGTGGTGATGCTGGTGGTGGTGGTGGTGGTGGTGGTGGTGGTGGTGGTGGTGGTGGTGGTGGTGGTGGTGGTGGTGGTGGTGGTGGTGGTGGTGGTGGTGGTGGTGGTGGTGGTGGTGGTGGGTGGTGGTGGTGGTGTGGTGGTGGTGGTGTGGTGGTGGTGGTGTGGTGGTGGTGGTGGTGTGGTGGTGGTGGTGTGGTGGTGGTGGTGGTGTGGTGGTGGTGGTGGTGTGGTGGTGGTGGTGGTGTGGTGGTGGTGGTGTGGTGGTGGTGGTGGTGGTGGTGGTGGTGGTGGTGGTGGTGGTGGTGGTGGTGGTGGTGGTGGTGGTGGTGGTGGTGGTGGTGGTGGTGGTGGTGGCGGTGGCGGTGGCGGTGGCGGTGGTGGTGGTGGTGATGGTGGTGATGGTGGTGATGGTGGTCATACTACCACAGTTCCGTTACGGCAAATGGTAGTAGTCGATGGTAGTTGTCCAGAAAGGAACACTCGAAGGTGCTGCCTCTGCGAACAGGCACCTTGCCGACTCTCTTCACAGATGGCCAGCATGTGGCAAACCACACAAGAGCCCATACAAACAGCTAAATCCAATTGAAACCCTGATAACCACAACCTCTCAGCCCAAACCCTACATGCTCCAACCCCCAACCCGGAACCCGTCCCACAGGCTAGCATGAAACAGCACACATCCAGTAGCCGCAGCCAAAAAGCATGGACTTCGAGTTAAACCCACGACCCATCTGTCACTCCGAGTGCGTCTCCCGCCCGTGGACTCCTCCAGGGTGATGTTCATCTCCTCAATCGAAAATTCAGATTGCCGGGCTTGGCAAGATCAGGGCTCAAGCTTTCGTATTGAGCACTTAGGGGTCAAAAGGCTTGGGATCACCGCGGCTCCCCAAATCAGGAACCTCACGTTCTATGTGCGATGCAGCACCGCAACACTCTATGCTCATGCGTCAGGGTCCTACTAAGTCCTACTACTCAAGGAGTCAGTGGTCTTGTTGAGAGGCTACAGGTAGGGACACAATAAAACCATCACCCGACATTGTTTTTTTTGGGGGGAGGGGGGGTGTAAAGGCCTACTTGAAGGATCATGGGACTTAGCAAGTAAGGCTAAAATTACCTCGCACTATTCTACTTACCTTCATATATCTGCACCGATACCCTATGCCGACTAAGTCTCCTGAGCCTCTCAAGTAGTGGACATGTCCACAATGTGAGGTTCACAGACTGACAAACAATTTACGGCTTGTTGCAGGGCGTCCAGCTTTTGGCTTTTGGCCACGTTCATGTTCGAGTGATGCAGATGGAACCCAAACCTAAATCAGGCTGTCTACAAAAAGCTGGGGATCCTTGGAAGATCATGGGACTTGATTAGTAACTATGTATTAAGCTACGTGTAACCTTACTTACTACTTCCCATGACTCTCCAGGTAGACCTTATAAATCCTGAACCCAAACTAAGAATACCTTTTCCAACTTGCGGGTCTCAACCCTACTTGGAGGATCATGGGACTTAGAAACTAGGGTTATACAACAAGGCAAGTACACCTGTAGGTACTGTGATTACAAACCCAACGAGGATACTTGTAGCCTTACTTACTAAGTCCCATGGTCCTCCAAGTACATCACATGAGGGCGATGCTGTCTCCCTCAAGCCGAAACCCGAGACCTTCACCTCCCCCGAAGCCTAAAAACCCGAAGCCCCTGAACGCTAACCTACACGCTCAACCCCTGAATGCCAAATCCCATGGGTGAGGAGGCACAGAAAAAAACGTGTCCTTCAAACGATCCTTGAACTCTTCCTCTTCCGACTTCCTGCTGTTCGGGCTTTCGGCATCACGCTTGTGTTTGGGGTTTAGCGGGGAGGATTACGGTTTCGGGCTTGACGCTTGAAATTGCGTTTCTGGAGCAGGGTTCGGGGGTGGTGTGGAGTTCAGGGGCAGACGTTTAGAATTTACTTCGGCGCTAAGGGATTGGGGCTTGCTGTCCTCGTAGGCTTTAGCTGGGACTTTCAGGTTGCAGGGCTTGCAAGGTCTCAGCTGGATGGCGATGAGCTGATGCGTTATTCAAGCTTTCGCCCTAGAAGGTCCACACTGCTGATGAAGGCACTGGGGTAGCATATAAAAAGGTGTACGTAGGACAGAACCACACTGACTTGCACTTCTCAAAACTTGGCGAGCCAGCCCTAAACCCTAAACCCTAGCCCTCTTAGCCAACCATCTCGTCTCCTTCCTGAACAGAAAAAACATCTGCTGGAAAGTTATCACTGCGCTGTCCTGGAAAGCTTCCTCCCAACTCTGGCAGATCATGCTCCCTCCAGTATATGGGGCCTTAATCATTAGAATACGGTTTGGGTGCACATCACTGTGCTATGACCAGATTAAGGAACCCCCACAATAGTATCGGTAATTATTTAAGCCCCTATATTAAGGGAGCTGCCTCCAGATCCTGATAATCGCATCAGTGTCAACGATAGCAGCCTGAATACTTACCCATAAGATTCCCTAGGGCTCCTCATACAAGAGCTTATAATTTCCCGTAACAGCCCTCAGGGCGTCCTATATTATGGTTATACTGTAATATACACCAAATTAGCCATAATTTCCATCAAGGTTCCTCATGAAAGTATACTACTATATCTCAAACGCCGAAGTAAGGTCACCAGTAACAGCTGCCTCTTGGTCTTCGGCTTCTCCTCCACAGCTGTGCCTCAAACCGGCCACACATACCATGATTGTGTAGGGACTATAAACGGGATACGGTTTTAGGTTTAGGGTTAGGTATAAGGGAATAGTGTTCATTACCGCTGATTCCGAGCCATGCATGTTTCTGGGCCTGGGGTCAGGGAAGTTTCAGGGCTGCAGTCAAAAATTCCTTATTATATAGATTACCCAAAGGCCCCAAAGTAGTTCCTTTTGGGGTTCATATATAGAATCCTATAGGGTAACTCCCAAAAGGAACTACTTTGGGGCCTATGGGTATCTATGCCAGCTTTGGCAAAGATCCCCAAACAGCACAAGCGCATGACGTCCAGGAAGATCATGATTCTCATGACCACGAGGACCACCCACGACGACCGCTACAATGTGGGAGTTTCCGCAAACTAGGGGTACCATATTTTGAGGTCCTTATAATAAGGATCCTACTATTTAGGGTACTATATTAGGGTCCCTTATTTTCGGAAACTCCCATGTATCACTACCTACAAGGAACAGGACGACCAAAAGACCTCCAGCACAAGGAGATTACGATGAAACGACTAGGCGACTTAAAGATCATCATAAGACCGCCCGGAGACCGCCGAGAGATTCCCGAAGAACGCCAGAAGACCAGCAAAACGCTTTCCGGCGGATTCGGGACCACGCCCGGAATGCTTTCCCCCAATTACTGGCGGGGTTCAGGAGGATTCGAGAGCAGGGCAGGAAGACCTGCGCAAAACTTCTTTCCTTCGAGTGCCGGTGAAAACTCAGACCACGATGGTTATGCAGCATGCATGCCAGTGATGCTTCTTTCCGCACCTGAACTGGCGGGGTCGAGAGACTCCAAATCCTTTCCGCCAGGTATATGCTGCCGCCATTCAAGGCTTCCGAGAGCAAATAGTAAGTAGTCCATGTATTGAGATTTACTATGACTCCTGGCCCAATGGCACCCCGGCGCGCACCTCAGGCAAGCCCTCTGCAAATAATCGGGCGCAAAACGAAAACTATGTAATTACTGCGCCACAGCGGGAGATGCAGGCCCCACGGATCCTTTGTCATTAAGGGGGCCACCTCAATCAGTTCTCTTTACACTGCACGCAAGGACCCCATAGCGCTACCACAGTGTTTGGGGAATACGTAATCTGACGCACCAGCTGCTGTAAAACATCCATCGGTATACACGTCCAATCACATCCATGTGTTGACAATGGACAGGGAGACATCCTTCACTCTTTTTTCCTTAAACCCTAAACCCTTAACCCTAAAGCCTAGCCAGTAAAGCCCATGACTCACTTCAACTACCTACCTCAAACAACCTTGTACTGGATCGCCAGGCCATGAGTAAAGGGTCAGTTCAGGCTCCATGTTAACATAATGTAGTTTGAAAAAGCCCAAGCGTGGCCTGCACATCTACTGGTTATTTCAGCGCGCGCTCCCATAGCTTCATCAAGCAGAGCTTGGCGCCCACACTGCCCTCCCGGCTCTTCATGGAAGTCAGCATCACAGGCGCCTGGCTAACAGTTGAGAGCTTCTGGGGTACATGCTTCGTTGTTTACTCTCTTCCAGGCGTAGAGTCCAGGGTTTCGGGTTTAGCTTTTATGTGTGGGTGTTAGGATTAGGGATATCGTTGGGGATATAGACCCTCCAATAATGTCCCTTCTCAGAGAGCCAGAAGTAAGGTTAAGAAGGGTCCCCTTGAAGAGTCTCCGAGTGCAGACAGTGTAGAGTTTAGAACCGAAGCTTGGAGCCGAACCTGCAATCACTATCACCAAACCCGGGGGTCACATTATGGGATCCCTAAGGGAGGGTGGTTCAAGGGGGGAGGGTATAAGGAATCCTTAGGGGACTGTAAGGGAACCTTAGGGAGTACTAGGGAGAATTAGATCACTAGGCTATATACCCCCCTTGGACCCCCCTCCCTTAAGGATATTATAATCACAAGACTCCCGGCTATAACCCCAAGACCACGAATCCAAAACTGTAGAAGGTGTGCCTTTGGGTTTAGGGATTAGGGGACTCTAGAGCAATGGCTGGTCTTGGATCTTGATTGAGAGGGCATCATCAAAGCGATGCTCCGAGAACAGAACTACTCCACAAAACTGGACCCCTGGCAGAGAGTTGAGTTATCCCTCTGGGTTGTTCCTCACCAGCCTCCCGTGCGCACTGCTGAGATGCGGACCATGAAGTCCAAGGACACGGAGCAGTACCTCCCAATTGGGACCATTAACAGGATATAAAAAAAACATGCACATGCAATCCAACAGTCGCAGTTCACGAATCACCACTTCCACGAAGCATCATGCTCTTACCAAGAAAAGCCGAAGCACCGACAGCGCCACGACGAAAATGGTCATGCATACGGCACTAGCAACGGAGGCTTCGTGATTTGCAAGTGACAAGCCCTTAAACCCAAAAACCCTGAAGCCCCAATCCCCCAAAGAATAAGACTTCCTTACAGAAGTCCTATTTTTTAGGGTTACCTTTTTTAAGGCATCTTAATAAGACCTCCTTACATACGTCCTAGTGTTTTAGGGTGCAGCTCGGGGCGAGGGTTTCGGCCTGTAGGAACCTGATTAAGAAACCTTGGGCCTTTACAAAGGTTCCTTATATGAATCCTGCTATTTTGGGGAGCTAGGCCCAGCGTTTCTTAACCAGATTACTACATTAGGGCTTTTGTTTTTAAGACCCTTTTCCGACCGCACGATCCCGAAAGGCCATTGAGCCAGAAGTCTCCCAGGGAGACGAACATTTGGGACACATAAAGGGTTTAGGGTTTGGAAGTTTAGGGTTTGGGGTTTAGGGTTTTGGCTGTAGGGTTTGGAAGTTTAGGGTTTAGGGTTTTGGTTTAAGGGTTTGGAAGTTTAGGGTTTTGGGTTTAGGGTTTTGGGTTTGGGGTTTGGAAGTTTAGGGTTTTGGGTTTAGGGTTTGGGGTTTAGGGTTTAGCGTTTTGGTTTTAGAGGTGGTTTAGGTTTTACAGTTGTGCTTACGGTGTCAGTTTTTTGTTCTGGGGATTCAGGGTTTTGCATATAAGGTTTAGGGTCCAGGGTTGAAAGCCTAACCCTTAACCCCAAAGCCTTAGCTGGTGTTGGACAAAATCTCTATTAGTGCATCTGAGTCGTCCGGAGATTTAGGGTTCCCGGTTTAGGGTTCAAAGTAGGTTCGGGATTTAGGGGTTCAGAGTTTTGGGTTTAGGATTTTGGGATAGCTTACGGAGGCCACTGTGCAAGGGCGAAGCCAGGCCCAACATGGAGTTTAGGACCATGGAGTTTAAGACCCTGCAGGTGTAAAGCAGTAGATAAGGCCCTTACCAGTCAGAATGGAGTTTGGGTCTGTTGGAGTATAAGCATAACAAGCAACCCAAAAAATAACGTAGGTAGTTACTTCTTCAGCACACTGTAGTAGTCGCCTCCTTATACCCTAAACCCACCCTCAACCCTAATCCCTAAACGAAATGAGGGCACCTCCACCCTGCGAGGGCCACCAGCGAAGCCAAAGCCTCGGCTGCAGCGCAAGCTTAGCTCCTCTGGTTTAGGGTCTGTGGAATTCTTGGAAGGGCCCTTTAACGGAGCCCTTATGGCCCTTAAGAGTGAGTATTGGGGGTGTATTGGAAGAGGGTAGCTGGGGGTCCAGGTAGGGGCTTAGGGAAAAAGCCTAACTCCTCCAGCTTTCTAGTTTGACTGCGGCGCTGAGGGTCTAACTTGTCAATCGGCTCAGGCGAAAGCCCACTAGGAAGCCCTCAATTATGATAGGGTTTGTGAGAAAACCCTGAACCCCAAACCCTAAACCCCTACACCCTAAACCCCCTGAACCCTAAACCCTAAACCCCCTGAACCCTAAACCCCTAAACCCCCTAAACCCTAAACCCTAAACCCTAAAACCCTAAACCCCCATACACCCTAAACCCCCTAAATCCTAAAACCCTAAACCCCCTAAACCCTAAAACCCTAAACCCCCTAAACCCTAAACCCCCTAAACCCTAAAACCCTAAACCCCCTAAACCCTAAACCCCCTAAACCCTAAAACCCTAAACCCCCATACACCCTAAACCCTATATTGACTACTCAGGCCCTTTGCTCGGCAGCTCATCTGGAGAGCCTGAGCTTTGGCCTCGGCCTGCACGCAGCTTGAGCGGAACTTTCGCATCGCCAATCCTGAACCCTGAACTTAAAAGATTTAAAAAATCCTGAACCCTGAAATTAAAAGATTTAAAAAATCCTGAACCCTGAAATTAAAAGATTAAAAAAATCCTGAACCCTGAACTTAAGAGATTTGAATAATCCTGAAGAGGTCTTAGGGTTTGGCTCAGGGTTTAAAGCCGATGGAGCGGGGCCCAACAATTTCGTGGGTTTCGCCTCATACCACGCGTGATGTGCTCACCGCATACACTCTTCTGCCTGCACCCGTTACGTACATTTTGGGACACCAACCCAATGGAAGCAAAACACTTTCGGAGGAAACTGTCCCTGCGACCAGAATACGCCATAGGGTGTTAGATTTCAGACTCAATATAGCATCCTTAATGATTAGAAGGGGTTTCGGGTACCGCTGCAACAAGCAGGTTACGCTGAATTTGCTGCGAATATGTATATGATCATTCGGATGGTCGACGTAATCGATATCGGGTCTTGTTCTCCAGCTCTGAGTGCATACGAAATGCCCTGACTAAGCCAACAGCTGGAACTCTCAACCCTACTTCAATGCAGCACCCTGTAGACCCTGGTCCATGAAGCCCTAAACTCTAAGACCCCTGCGGCACGACGAAAGGGCGCGCGCCGCGTGGCGAAAGCGGAAACTGAACTCCTTGCCATGGTTGGAAAGCAAGGGCTTCAGGATTCAGGGATTAAATCTCAAAGGGTCCAAGTGCTAGCTTAGGGTCTAAACCCTATACCCCCAAAACCGATCTCTATGCCTAAATCTCAAACTCTACTGAACTCAAGGCTTTTGTTTGCAGGATTTAGGATGACCTTCAAACCTGAATCGGTAGGGCGGCGCATCTTCCAAAATAATTAGGGTCGAGGCTTAGGGCTTAGGGCGCTTAGGGTTTAGGGGTTTAGGGTTTCGGGCTTTGGGTTTAAGGGTTTCGGGCTTCGGGTTTATGGGTTTAGGGTTTCGGGCTTATAGGGTTGAAGGGTTTAGGGTTTCGGGCTTAGGGTTTATGGGTTTCGGGCTGAGGCTTCTAAATCTTGGGTTCAGTGGTGAGGGCTGCTAGTTGAATGCTTCCATGCGACCGGTAACTCTGGATTCCCAATGTAGCGGAGCTTCTGTACTTGAATGCTGACCCAAGTAGCAGACCGTGTTTCTTGAACGATCGGGAAAATAATTCGCCTCGGCCCCGGCCGAAGCGGTCAGAGGTTCCTATTCGGATTCCCTCTATTCCCCACCTCTTAATCCCCTCCTCAGTGACCCCACCCCCAAAATTCGCGCCAACCCCGCCCCCCTTCAAAATGGAAACGTGTCGATTAGCCCCAAGGTCCGGTGGTGAATTCTCACCTCCTCCACTAGATTTTAGCTGTCTGTAGGCAGTCCCACCCAGTTTCTTTGTTTTCGCCCCCCCCCCCCCCTGCCCCCCCCCCCATTCCCGGCCCCCCGCCCCCCGCCCCCCCCCGCTCCCCCCTGCCCCCCTCCAGGCAAAGTTCGGAAATAGCGTTGCTTTGGGCAGCACAGCACGCGGCTCCACGACCTAACCTTCTCATAGCATCGGAGATTCAAGCATCGCTATCGCCAGCTAGGGGCTATGTCGAATATCAGGCACAGAACGCGGAGATGCTACAATGGTCACATCAACCTCTTGCTGGCTTCTTGAGACAAGCCCTCTGCCTTACGCTGCTCTGCCCTGCTTTGCCCTGCCCTACAATTAATACAAGTGCGATTCCAACTGTTGTTATTTTCGTACAAGAGCTTCCTGCTGCGCCGGATGGTAGCCAGTCGCCGCATGCGCGAAAAGCCGGGCCGAGGCGGACGACGCGAAGCGTTTCAAATTAAACCCTAAACCATGGTAGTAAGGAACCGAAGATCAAAGGCGTTAAAGCTTCAATTTATAGGCGTTCTTATACTGACATATTTAAAAACGCTAAACCATCCTAATGTTCAGGGCCCTTATGCGCCTTCAGAACCAAAAACGCAATATCTAGAAGAGTCCCTTGAGGTTGTATTCCAATCAAAAATCTAAAAGGTGACATAGCACCTGACTACTGCGGCAACCTAGGGTTTATGGCTTTAAGGGTTCGGGGTTTACGTTTAAGGGCTTACAGTGTCAGCACACACAAAAACTGGCTCACACTAGCTTACTTGTTTAGGGCGTCAGGCCTTGCCATGTTCATAAGCCGCCTTCCCCACGCCCCCAACCCGCAACGACAAGGACTCCAAGGTGCAGCCCGACACCTGCGCTAAGCTAACTGCCAGAATCCCAACCCATAGAAGGGTTTAGGGTTTAGGGTTTAGGGTTTAGGGTTATCATAGAAGTGGAAATCCTAGAGCCCAAATGCTTCACTTCAGCCCCGG